TAAGCCTCTTTAGTGATTTTTAAAAATACCTAACCACATTCCAAATTTATATATATGTATTCCAAACTTATTTTCATGGTATATGAGCTTCATTTATAATTTCCCAATGAATAATTTATTTATTTTTGTTTACTACTTAATAAGTGGACTAATCCCTATAAAACTCTATTTTTGGAGAAATAGGAACACCTAATGTCTCAAACCTCTTTAATCTCCGTACTATGTTAGTGCATGATGCAGCTATGCATTAAAACAAAAATATGATTTTTCTATTTTTTCTTGAAATATGTAGGTTAACCCCTACAAAATGATTGAATTTTCTTGTAAATACTATCTATACTATTTAGGTTCTTTAGTTGTTTTTAAAAATACGTTACCACATTCCAAATTTAGATATAAGTATTCCAAACTAATTTTCATGGTATATGGGCTTCGTTTATAATTTCTCAATGAATATTTTTTTTTTTTTTACTACCTAATAAGTGAACTAACCACTATAAAATTCTATTTTTGGAGAAATATGAACACATAAAGTCTTAAACCTCTTTAATCTTCATACTATGTTAGTGCATGATGCAGATTTGCATTAAAACAAAAATATGATTTTTTTTCTATTTTCTTCATGAAATATGTAGGTTAACCCCTACAAAGAATGAATTTTCGGCTGAATACTATATATACTATTTAGCCTCTTTAGTGGTTTTTAAAAATACCTAACCACATTCCAAATTTAGATATATGTATTCCAAACTAATTTCCATGGTATATGAGCATCATTTCTAAATTTCCAATGAATAATTTATTTAAATTTTATATACTACTTATTAAGTGGATTAAACCCTATAAAAATTTTATTTTTTGGAGAAATAGGAACATCTAAGGTCTCAAACCTCTTTAATCTTCATACTATGTTAGTGCATGATGCAGCTATGTATTAAAACAAAAATATGATTTTCTCTAATTTTTCTAGAAATATATAGGCTAATCCTTACGAAAAAATTGAGCCTCTTTTGTGGTTTTTAAAAATACCTAACCACATGTCAAATTTAGATATATGTATTCCAAACTAATTTTCATGGTATATGAGCATTATTTCTAAATTTCCAATGAATAATTTATTTAAGTTTTATATACTACTTATTAAGTGGACTAACCGCTATAAAATTCTATTTTTGGAGAAATATGAACACCTAAGGTCTCGAACCTCTGATTATTAATTTTGGGTTTTTTCATAGGTTTTTTTCATAGCTACTAAACCTAATTTCCCTCTAAAATAACAACCTAATTTCCCTTTAAAATAACAGGCCAACAAAATAAACCAATTTTACCAAAACAAATATTAATCTAATGTAAAGCCAAACAAATACTAATCTAATGTAAAAATGGTTCATATATGACTTGCAAGTTAATGTTATTCGTAATGATTTTACCGGTTTGCAGTCTTTATCCCTACTCTATCACGAAATGATCGTAAGTAATTTCATAATCAAAGACTACCATTTTGTTTAATGTGTTTAAAATTTCAGTTTCGTTTGTTTATATATTAGGTACAACTTAATATAGATAATCCTTGCCAAAATGATGTTAAATCAACACATTCTCTGCACTAATCTTCTTACAACATTTCTTAACCACTTCCACTAATCAGGGCTGCCTCCGACAACTAAGTATCAGGCAGGAACTGGCCTTGCACCAGAAGAAAGCTGTACATTAGCAGCGTACTCACGCGCCCACAAATCATAGTGAACAATCTCTTCAAGAGACGGTGATGATACCAACTCTGTTCGATGCTTATCGCAAGTTAACTCCACTACCTTGAAGATATCCAAATAGCTTATCCTGCAAACAAAAAGAAAGTGAACATAAAAACAATCTGATTCGTTTTCAAGAACACTTACTTTTCATCAATGAACATTTCAACAGCTTTCTCGTTAGCTGCACTGAGAACTCCAGTCATAGTACCTCCAGCTCGTCCAGCAGCATAAGCAAGATCCATTGAAGGGTATTTCACATTGTCTGGTTTCTTGAATGTCAAGGAACCGAGTCTGCCAAAAGACCACACAATCTTGAACCCACTTTGGTTTAACAATCTTTTAAACCAAGCTTAGATTAAGCTGAGGAAAAATATTTATAAATTGTGATTTGCTTACTTGCATAGGTCAAGTCTTGGCCAAGTTACTTCAGAACAAGGAACCCTATCAGGCCAAGACATGGTGTAGAGAATAGGTAAACGCATATCAGGCCATCCTAATTGAGCAAGCACAGATGAATCCTGTGTTTCAATCATGGAGTGAATGATACTTTGAGGATGAATGACAATCTCTATATCATCATACTCAGCTCCAAACAAATAATGAGCTTCAATGACCTCAAGACCCTGTTTCAAGAAATCAAGAACTCTATCTCAGAGCTTGATCAAAGCTACTTTTTATATCAGAGTTTAGTAAATGATGTTAACCTTGTTGAAAAGCGTAGCTGAGTCCACAGTGATTTTCTTTCCCATGTTCCAGTTAGGATGCTTCAAAGCATCTGCTACTTTAACTTCCTTGAGCTTCTCAACAGGCCAATCTCTATAAACCAACATCCAGTGTAAATAACTTCCACTACCAAACGAGAATGAAGAACAAAAAATCTATCCAAAGAGAACAAACCTAAAAGCTCCACCAGATGCAGTCAAGATTATCTTGCGCAGAGCGCCTTCAGGCAAGCCTTGAATACACTAGAGGACAACACAAAAGAAGAAGAATAAGTTCACTCAATATCGGTTGAGATAGTATGGCAATCAACAATACCACATTTTTGATACCTGAAATATGGCTGAGTGTTCTGAATCTGCTGGAAGAATCTTAACATTATGTTTGTTGGCTAGTGGAAGTACAAAAGGACCACCTGCTATTAGCGTCTCTTTGTTTGCAAGAGCAATGTCTTTTCCAGCTTCAATTGCAGCAACAGTAGGCTACAAGAAAATACTCTAGTGAATATACTCATAAGCTTTAATGAAAATACAATAGAGTGTGTATATATATATACCTTTAGTCCTGCGCAACCTACTATTCCGGTGACAACAGTTACTGCGTCTGGGTGGCGAGCAACCTGTTGATGAATATAAGCAAAAACTCAATGAGGATCCAAAAACTTATAATCAGAATTTTAAAAGTAATCGACTAACCTCAATCACTCCTTGCTCCCCAGGGATAATCTCGGGTTTGTAGTCCAAACCAGCTAAAGCTTCTTTAAGCTCATTGAGTAATGATTCGTTTCTGACAGCAACCAATGCTGGTTTAAACCTCTTTACCTGCATTCAGAAGAGTGTAACAGAGCTGATAAGATTGATGTTTCTAGAGATCACTGAAGTAAGAACTAAATTTCTCTGGTTTGATTTGCTAAGCATCTAGTTTACAGTATCTTGCTTATGTTACTACCAATGAAGTGAGAGATATAACTGATTACCAGGTGGTTAAAATGTACCTGATCAGCAAGGAGAGTAACATTGGAACCAGCAGCTAAAGCCACGACTCTAAATTTGTCAGGATTCTCAGCCACAATATCCAATGTCTGCATATTAAAAAAACAACAAGATTCTCTAAGTTCTTATTGATAAGTATGATTCAACAACAAATAACTCAGTATCTTCAGGGCACAACATATATAACAATGTCTACTCATCTCAAACACAATCTACTGTCTGGCCCTACTCAATAATCCAAAGCTATGGATCTAAAACAAAATAAACAATCTGGCAAAAGAGCAAGAAAACAAAGAACCTGAGTGCCAATAGAGCCAGTAGAACCAACAATAGAGATGGGTTTAGGTCCATCCCAAGACTGACGAGGCGCCTCAGGAACAGCTCTCCCAGGCCAAGCAGGAGGAGGTTGTTGCTGGTTCTGCTGAACTTTCACTGAACACTTAACTCCTTTCCCAAAACCTCTCTTCCTCAAACTAAACCCACCTGTGAACAACTTCCAAAGATGTAAACTTTCTTACTCTTCTGAACTTAACTAACTCAAAAGTGTCAAACTTTCTTAGCTAAATCTCACAACTTGAAGATACCCAGATGGCAAAGTGTCGAACTTTATGAGTTTAAATCGAACTACTAGTGTTTTAAAATGTGAAGAGTTTACAGAGAATTGAGTCATATGTCACAAGTTTGAAGATGCTTGCTTTCATAAGAGACTTAAATTGAAGTTTTTTTGTTTTTTTGAATCCAAACCTGGGAGTTTGGGGGTTGGATTGAACCTGGAAGTATCCAAGAGAGAAGAAAGAGACTTGGAATCAGCTGGAGAGAGTGAGTTTAGCGTCATCATCAGTATCCAATATTTCTCAGAGAATTTTAAAAAAAGAAAAGAGAAGAAAGCAGAAACAGTGAGGAAGATGATGATAAGAAGAATGTAATCTGAATGGTACTAACACCTTCGGATTACTTTCCTTTTTAGTTGATTTCTTTTAACGTTAAGATCTGTCAACTTCTATTAAGGTAACGACACGACACGTTGTAAAACGGTCTGATACATGCTGGCATAAGTTTCCACTTTGTATAAAAAGTATATCCTAAATTTAGTGTTATGATGACTATTTTGATCTTGTGTTCAAAAAAAAAAAAAAAAAAAAAAAAGATGACTATTTTGATACATATAATTACTTTATATATAGCTAAAAAAAATTACATCATCATACTTAGATAAGAAAAATGACAAAGTAAGTGGTAGGTTTTGATGTTTTGTGATTCACATGTTGTCATCTTCAATTACTTACATATTAATTAAGTGGTAGCTGGAGAGTCACGTGGTTTGCTAATCTGTATATTAATTACTCACGTGGTTTTCTAATCAATTCGTGTCAGTTAAGTATTGTTAAAAAGGCTTTTTTAATTAAAAAAATCTTTTAGGCCCATATAGTCCTCGGCCCATCTTCTCCCAGGCCTCGATATGAGCAAACACCTCATATGATTTAATCATCATCATAGCCTTTAATTATTTTCTCCTCTTCTCTCTTGGAGAAGAAGAAGATCTCTTTAGCTGCTGCTGCTTCTATGGCAACTCATCAGCAGACCCAACCTCCTTCCTCAATCTCAGGTCCAATCACAACACTCTATACTATTTAAAATTGATTTCTTTTTTTTTTTTTTGAATGAATGTAAAATTTATTCAATCAAACTGATTTACATGCATCTGTTTTAAAATGGATTTCTAGTGAACCCAATTACGAATTTTTATTTAAAGCTTAAGCCTTTTTTTATTTTAACCTTTCTTTGTTGTTGTTTGCAGAGGCTTCAAACGAAGTTGAGGAAGCTAGTGAAGCTTCAGATTTTAAGAACTCTGTTTTTAAGAACTCTGAACCAATACGGGAGGATCAGATTCAGAACGCTATCAAGTTCCTTTCGCATCCTAGAGTTAGAGGATCACCGGTTATTCATAGAAGATCGTTTCTTGAGAGGAAAGGTCTCACTAAAGAAGAGATTGATGAAGCTTTTCGCCGTGTCCCTGTAAGATCTTTTCTTTGACTTCTTTCTCAATGGAATTAAGCTTACCTCTGTGTAAACATTTTAATTACAGGACCCATCACCAAGTTCGCAAACAAGTGTTAATAGTCAAGGTATATAAGCTAGACATGTGTTCTTTTTGATGACTTAGACTTTTTAAGTTTAGAGGTGTGTTTATGCAATTTTTTTTAATGTTACAAATAGATGGACAGCAAGTAGTGTCTAGTGTTCAGCAACAAGGGCAGATACAAGCTTTGCAGCCTGCTCCTGTTGTTATGATTCAGTCTCCAAGTTTGCTCTCCCGTTTTCGTTGGTACCATGCTGTTCTTGCTGTTGGAGTGTTAGCTGCTTCTGGTGCTGGAACTGCTGTTTTTGTGAAGGTAACCGTTGACCTGGAAGCTCTTTTGTTAACTCCTTTTATAATGTATAGTATTAAGCTGATTGTGTTATGAATCCACTTAGTACATTGAATAAAGGAATAAGATGGTTAGAGTATTAAGTCGATTGTGTTATGAATTAAGTTGATTGTGTTACCTCCATTTATATGCAGAAGTATTAAGTTGATTGTGTCATAAATTTACGTAGTACATTGAATAAAGGAATAAGATGGTTAGAGCCCATAACTGAAATGTCTTTTGGAATTCATTGTTTCATTCTCCGTTTTTGTCTAGGGTGTCTGGGAAAGTTGCTTCTTCCTTTTTTCTGGAGTTCACTTGGTATCTTAATGTGTTGTGGAATGCAAGTTTGTAGTATTAGTTTCCATGTACAAAATCAAGATCATACTGAAGTGAGGTTTGTTCTTGTTTCAGAAATCTCTAATCCCCAGATTAAAATCGTGGGTTCGTAGAATTATGTTGGAAGAAGAAACTGATACTCTGGAGAAAGCTGATGCAAAACCTAGCTTAGCTGAAGAAGCAGTAGCTGCAGCCAAAGCTGCTTCCGCGGCTGCTTCTGATGTAGCCAGGGTTAGTCAGGAAATGATGAAAACGAAGAGTGAAGGTAGGTATTAAATTATTTTTTGTGTGACTATTTCTTCCTTTTACACTAAAACCAAATTTGTGCATTGTTTCTTGTCAGAGAGGAAGAATTTTGAGGACTTGATGCAAATGTTAGGCGTCCAAGTACAAGAAATGAAGTCTTTGAGCCGTAATATCCGTAATCTAGAAGGTAAGTGGTTGAAAAGAAAATCGTGTATGGTATACTTACATCTTAATTTTGAACAGTTACAACTTAACTCGTATCAGGAGCCATATAGGTTCTAGTTGCATCTGATTGATCTTAAGAGCCACTGTCAAAGCTCTAAAGAGTAATGTTCTGTTTCTACTTATTACTTTCAGGGAATTCCAGCAACCTCCCCAAAGTTTATTCAGCTAACCAAGAGGTCTATGGTGGCTTAGTCAAAAATCCGGCAGAAAGGGTGAGTTTAAGGTCGAAGGGTTTTGGAATAATCTTATATCAGAAAGAATAATTTGTTCTTTGTATCAGAAAGAGTGATCTCCACTTGAACTTGATAATGTAGTCCTTTTGGTAACATTTAGAACGTTGACATGTGATGCAGAGACCCTATACAAATGGCAGCAACATTGATTATGACACGCGTTCAGGTTACCTCCTCTCTCTGGCTTAGTGTACATTTTGTTCTGTTGCATTTTATTAGGTTTTTCTCTCTAACTAATCAATAATACAGCACGGTCTACTTCTCCTCCTGCACCACCAGCTGATTCTTCTGCGCCTCCTCATCCAAAGTCATATATGGATGTAATGTTCTGAAACCTATAAAGCTTACTGCAGAATCATGGTTTTGTAATGAACTTTACCCTTTGAGCTCTAATTAACCGTCTTAACGTTTAGTTGCAAACTTGTGATGTTTCAGATAATGTCTATGATCCAGAGAGGGGAGAAGCCTTCAAACATTCGGGAGATTAACGACATGCCACCCAATCCAAACCAACAGCTACCAAATCCTCGCATACCTCCTAAAGCTAAGGTAGAAACTAAAATGTTTCTGAATGTTGATATAAAGAAACATTCTATGTGATGAATCTTGTTCACAAACTCTTTGATGATTTGATTACTAATGATCTCTTACTATTATCAGCCATGGAACTATGGTCAAGCGCCGCAGGACGAGAGTTCCAGCGGTCCATGGTGGCAACAGAAGAATCCAAGATCCAGTGATTTCGGTTATGAGACAACAACGGCACGTCCCATTGGTATCCAAAATGAAACAAGTACATTGGAGCCAGCAGTTCTCCAGAAGCAACGATCATGGGTTCCTCCGCAACCACCTCCAGTTGTTATGCCAGAAGCAGCGGAGGCCATTCGCCGTCCTAAGCCACAAGCTAAGATAGACCAAGAAGTAGGAGCTGCTGCTAGTGATGACCAGTCAGGTGTGAGCGATGAGTTACAGAAGGTCACTAAGTTCTCTGAATCTGGTGGTGATGGATCAGGAAGGTCGCAGATCACAGAGATTCAAGAAGAAACAGAACATCAACATATTAGCCAAGAAGGGAACTAAGAGAGTCAATACTTTTATGGTGTTTGCTTGAAAGAAAACATGTATCAAGGTCTTGGATTTGGTTGTTGACTTTATTTTAAATATATTGAAACCTTTCTCACAGAGAAGCAGCAAGAGTCATTACATGCTAGTTTCTTAGCTACAAGGTAGTTTTGGCTAGGAGGTTGGCTCCTTGTGTACCGAGATTCCACTCTTGTTTCAGTGTTTGGGACATGTTGTTCTGCAGTATCTGAGTCTGAGCTGTGAAGGTTGGACAATGCACTGAGATCAAGATCTGGAAAGACAGAGCAACGACACCTTGGACACTTTACGTTTAGTCTAAGCCATTGATCTATACACTCAACATGAAAGTTATGCGCACAAGGTAATCCCCTAACCTGAATCCAAACAAAAACATACAGTCATGAGTGGATAGTACAGTGACCAACCACAAACTCCTTTCCGATATTGAACTCTTCTAAGCAGATAGGACACTCGGTGGAATCGGCTGGGACAGCTTTTAATCTGAATTTGGGAAGTTCTTGAATAAGTGCTTCCACTGCAGTGGTTTTAGCAAAACGTGATTTATATATTGAAAAAAAATGATGGCAACGCAAAGTTTAGTATTGTTTTAACTTATTTTTTAAACATCGTTGTTAACTTTATTTTAAATAATTACTAGATTTTTTACTCATGAAATAATAACTTACTTTGTATTAATTCAATATAAACATATCAGATGTTTAGAGATGCTAAAATAGATAAACCCCTTCTATTTAAACCAACCTCTTTTCTCTTTTAAATTCAGAACCTGTTTAAACCTAAATAAGTAAATACAATTAATAAAATATAGATTAACATATAGAAATATATGGTTACATGAAATCTCTATACAATCTGTTAGTAAGATATGAAATGAAATTATTTAATCAATAATTAGTTGGACTAAATTATATAACAAAAGTGAAAAATACTAACTAACAAATACCGACGATTTTGTTTATAGAATCATTAAGCAGTCAATTAAAATACAAGTTTCCTTATATATAGTCCATTAATCAATACAATTAAATAGCACATAAGTTTAAGTTATTAAAAAACATTCTCAAAATATACATTAGATTGACACTTTGTATTTAAAATTCAACAAGAAATAATGATTCTCAAAAATTTAATAAAGAACAGATCAAAAATGTTACGAGATTATACACTTCGTATCTAAATTTAATTTTCATTTCTATTTTTTATTAATTCGTTTGAGATATTTGTTTAATTTGTGCACAATTTTTGTTGTATTTGTTAGATCATTATAGTTTTTGGGCTTTCAACTGAAAATAACTATTAAATACATAACCATATAACAATACGTACCTCCATTGATGTTCTTCTTCTTGTTGTTTGTTCTTCTTGAGAGACATTTCCACCATATTGTTGCAGAACAGGTTCATCCGTCGAGCTACATGATTTGTTTTTCCCAGCCTTTACAATTCGATGAATCTTCAATAAAACATCCATTGTTTCCTCCTCGGTCGCTTTTCTGTCTTCAACAAAGTTCCAAAGTGCTTCGCTAGTATCAATGGTAATGAGATCCTGTATCTCAAGTTTTACGCGGACTACTTCATTACAAAGATATTCGCCATAGTTATCCTTAAGCTCCCTGGGTTTTCCATCGTTCTCATCCGCAACTCTCTACATTTCACATAGATTGTCAACGGATTATGATGCTTTTGACAACATAAGAAAATGATTCAGATACAAAAAGTAGAATTTTAAACTTTGGGTGTTCCTTCAGAATTGTCGAATTTAAATGGATGCCAATGTATGCTCTTTACGTGCCTTGTCCACTCAGAATACAAAGCCTCAGCCTCAGCCTCTGCCTCGTTCGTTTTTAAACCAATCCATCTCAGTGCCACCAAGAATTTCTCATAGTTTAACTGTACTATCTTCAGTCTTACATTCCCCGAAATATAAAATTTCAGAATTTCTGCAAGAGTATCTAGAGTTGATGCTACATGGTGAGTCGTCTGTACACATGTGTTGTTTGGTTCCTGTATATAACAAACCACCAAACGAGTTACCAACCAAAACATATTTTAACAGATGTGTAAGCTAAGACAGAAATTTTCCATTGCTTTGTACGTTAATTACAAAATCGCTTTTCACATTCATTGCAAGAGATAGGTTTCTGTTTCGAGTTCAAGCACTGATGTCAATTGAAATCTAAAATTAAGTTTCAACAATCAACATCATGTGTCGTCAAACACTCAATAACATTGAGATTAGTAAACACTTTGGTGGGTTTGTGCATTTTTATATACAGCTAAAGCATGTTTCTCATGCACAAATATTGCGTCTAACCACCTTAGTTCTCATGTCCAAAATACAACTCCAATGCTTTGGTAGGTCAAGGCTTTTAACACCAACTTGTAAGTACATGACCAATCCTAAAATTTTGGAGGCATAAAACAATTTTTTTATAAATAATTTGAGAAATGTGCTTGTTAGCTCTAAAATTTTGAAGACCTAAAGCTAATGATTTGCTTCGATGTTTTCTAGAAAGTTTTCTAAACTAGGCATTATATTTTTTCTTATAGAACCTTCTATATATGTGAAAATGTTTAAATCATACTTCTGATATGGCATATAGCTTCTTGCCTTTGTAAGCTCCTAAACTATGATCAGCGCCATCAATGAATCTACACTAAGAAAAAAAATAGATATGTTTAAAAACCAAGTAAAAGTATCAACCATGGACGAATTTGTTACGTTTCTAGCTTCCATAAATGTTATAAAACAATCTAATAAAACCGAAAATGTAACAAATTACATAGATTCAACTTGCCAAAGTTATAATCATTTCAATTTTCAACCAAAGAAAAAGTGAAACCCCTTTCTTTCTTCCAACTCAAGAAAGGTTCATAACTTCATGGATTCCTATTCTTCATTTTTTGTATCTTCATTGGCATCTCTTCCGATTCTATCTTAACCTAACGGTGAAGCTGGCTATTACAATCCATAGCTGCATGTATCAAGCTCGGCCAAGCTCGATTTCAGCATTAGAAAACCGCTTTTCTTTATCTTCATCTTCATCGTTCCAGTTAGTTGTTTTATAGTAAGTTGCGTATAATATAAGCTGTACTAATCCTGAGAGGGATCCAAGACCATTTGGTATCTGTTTCATGAAACAAACCAATATATTATCGCCTATAAAAAAGATATACCCGACTGAGGTTAACATTATAGGGGTGAAAATAGAAGCTAACCAAAATATATGGGTCAAATTTAAGACATGCATAGATGACCCAAACGACACCGTTCATGAAGCTGGCTAATGACAGGAAGAACGGCATGTACTTCACGCTCTTTGTCTTTATCACAAGTTTCTGTTCCACGTTAATTAAACCCATTAAATGTTAGTTCACAAGACAACAAAGAAAAAGAAAAGAACAATGATAGAAACCGTTTCTTGGCATATATACCGTGACTAGTCTAGACTCTTGTAGTCTTGTTCATGATGATTCTAACTCTAGGTCATATACATGCTATTAGCTTTAGCAATATGTTGGTTCCAATCTTTTGGAGAATCTCATTATATATAGTTTTAAAGAAGATGAATAAATATAGAACGCACATAATAATAAAGAGAAATGAGTAAGAATAATATATAGCTTACCATTACGGTCAGAGGCGAAGCATACATGATAACATTGAAAACAATGCACATGATCCCGATAAGCATAGATCTTTGTTTTGTTGTATGCAAAAAGTACAGAGTGCAGAAGATCACCACCGACATGAATATCAACTCAATCACCATAGCTATTGTGATCTTTCTCTGTATTAAAATCACATATCATAAACCATCTCAAATCTTTCATGGTTACAAAAAAAAATGCATGATATCGTGCATGCATGCATGTTCACTCTAAAGAACTAGAAATCAAAGCTGGATTTGCGATTTAGAAAACCATAAACATTTTTATGTTAATTCTAATACAAATGATGTTGGAAACTTAGAGACCATGCCACCTATATATACATGGGCGGTCCTAAGATTGTAGGAGTTATAAACAATTTAGTAAAATGTTTCTATAAATATTTTTCTTTTACAAATTTAGGATCATCTAATTCTATGTTTATTATTTCTGAAATTTGGGGGTTATAGACTTATGTTTCATTTGGCTATGTTTCATATGGTTATACCCCAAAACGGTCTTGCTAGCTAGAAACTTACGCGGACAGCAGAGGTGGCGAAGATGAAGAAGATGGTGACATAAACGAGTTCCATGAAAAGACCAGTTCCATTAATCGTGATGACGAGGAGACTGTCGGGTTGAACAAAAGGAAGTCCGTAAAAACTCCACATCATGCAGTTTAAAACCGTAGCTATGTACGGATCTGGCTTAAACTCCGACACTGATTTCATCTTCCATATCTTTATCATCGTTGGTCTGCATAGTTTTCACATATAGTACTATAAAATATAATTTATTGCATGCGTTGAATTATAACGCGAAAGAAGAGAAGATCTAATATGTGTTTACACTGGAGAGCAGAACAAGCCGAAGGAGATCACGTTTCCTGAACATATTATAACCACAACACAATCAAGAACTTTAATAATGAATAAGTTACTTAGTAAGGTTTTGTGTTGTTGATTAAATCTTTGTGAGGACTTACCGATGATTCCGACGATCGTCCGAGCAGTGTGGGCATCTGTCATGTTGTTATGTATCTCAAAGAATACTTTTGTCTTTTACAGATTTTCACAAAGACCTAACAAAGAAGAAAAAAGCTAAGTATGTGATTTGATTCTCTTATTTCGATGATGTATAAATCTCCTTTATACTGTATATATTTTTTAGTGTCTTGCTTTTTTGTTAGTGATGTGTAATGAAACAACTCTTTTCTGGTATGGTTTCTTCATTCTTGGCTCTGCTTTATATTTATTTTTTGTTTGGATTATTTTTGGGTTTCTGTTTTTATCAACAAAGGGAAAGAGTTGGAGTTTAGTAGCGAGTTTGTGACTCAGTAGAACCTGAGTCGGTAGGTTAACAAATGTGTGACACGTGGTTGTAATATGAATCATGAAGCCGTTGGCTCTGCTCGTACCCCATGCATGAGCAACATCCGGCTCTTCATTCGCATTCAATTCTTTCTGAAATGCAGCCATTTTTATTACCTCACCTTTTGTTAAAACTTGTTACTTTTTTTGTTAATCTTGTTAGCAAGACATTTGTTCTACATGGATAATGAAATTAGTTGCAATTCTATCATATTTTATGTTTTGTTTGTTCTTAGTATATGGTTAATTATTATCAGTTGCGGTTAGATGGCCTCAACTGAGTTGAGTTATTTTGGTATATACATTTGCTTTCCATTCATATTCAGGTCGGGTCGTCTCGAGCAGATCAGATCCAATACAAACTTGATGTTCAATTAAAGAAAATCCAAGGCGGCCCATGCATATAGACTTGAGAATGTTAATAATTTTATATAAACTTTCGGTTATAAAACATGTGACTGATCGTCTAGTGGTTGTGCTGATAAGTTCTTGAAGGCGTTTAATTTAGAGATGTTTGTTTTTCATTATAAAATCATTTAGAATTATCGAGGCTTTCTTCTTTTAGAGGATTTCATGTATATTATGACATTGGTCTTCTGTGTATGGCCTTTTTCCTTCTTCTTCTTTTTATAATGAATCATATGGTATATAGAATTGCACGGTTAAGCAAAACTTGAAAAATTGTGTTTTGAATATGAGAAGGTATATGTATATTGCATTTTGTAGTTTAATGATTTGATAACTAGTTCCATTTTGCAGTTTTCGTTTCTTTTAGTATGTTTGACATATTAATTCCATTCCTGTCATTTTATTGTATTATTAGTCTACTATTTTATGCTCCTTTGTTTCTAAAAATACTCCCTCCGTTTCATAATATAAATCATTCAGACTTATTTTTTTGTCACAAATTAAGTGTCGTTTTAGAGTTTCGAGGCAAAATTTATTAGTTTTATATAATATTCTATTTTTCTATTGGTTGAAAAGTGGTTAAGTGTATAGGTAATTGTGTTTTTATCTTGGAAATATGTAAAATTAAATATTTTTTTAATCTGTGTGCAAAAACGTGGAATGACAACTAAAATGAAACGGAGGGAATATATATTCTAGACTTTTCACAAATATTAAGAAAACTCATTAAATTTTGATTGTAAATGCATTGTTTTTGTGAATAACAATTTTCCATAACTTTTAACCAATAGAAACTCAATAAACACCATTAATTTTTTGAAACTTACAATTTTCATTAAATCATTCATTGAAAAGGTAAAAAAATGCATCTTTTTGAAACAAATTTTTTTTCTATAATATATATCTTCTAGGAACGGAGAAACTAGATATTTTTGGAAGTATTTGGTGGGGATGATTTGTAAAATACTAAAATAAAATACACTTTTGGACTAGCTAGAGAGTAACAAGGCCCGTGGTCCTCCTTCTAACATACTTTCGTATTTTCATATTCATGGTGGTTGCGTCAATATATATAAAGTCGTAGGTATTACTCCAATAATTAACTTATCTTATACATATAACTATGTTAATCATTGATCTATACGGCTTTTGGTAGATGTTCTCACACGGTTTGGAACTTTGGATCCCCAACATCCACCTATATAGATCATTATATAAACACATGTAAATTTCCATTAACAACACTTTTGTTTTCTAAAGCAGAATAGTACAATCTGTATCCCTTAACAGACAAAAATGAATTATTTGGTAAACTTGTTCGATTGTAAAATCTAGAAAAGTTGCTATGATCCTTTTTGTTGCTGGTTGTTGCCAACGAACTCTTGTTGGTCGAGTTTCCATTATATTATGGAGTAAATTCCATGATAAAGTTTTTGAAAAACACACAGGTCCACATAAAGTCCATTTTTATGCAAGTATAAATAAAATTATAAATGTTGCAAAAAAATAAAAAATTATAGATACTCATATTGAAAGATTAAAAAATGAAGATGTCCTTATGTTCTATATACTCTCACATGTCATAACGAAAAAAACACAAAAAATAGCAAAACATGCATTTTTACAGTACATGGTAATGTACACACACATATATGAATGTTAGCAGCCATCTTGACTTGTCATTGTTGCTCAACGTGACTATTATTAAAGACTATACTACATGTCGACTTGTACAGTAAATGGTTACCACCGTGGCATAATAAGATGTATTGTAACAACTGGTGTTGTGTCATTAACTCAGGAATCTCAAAAGATGGATCATCATGTGAGTTCACCGCTCCTTCTCATCTATCTTCTAAAACAACAAACCCAACAAACACCATTAAACACATTATATTTAATTATCTCACTCCTCTTATTAAAGTAATCACCTAATTTTATATCTCTCTGTTTTTTTTCTTTCTTGTTGTTGAATGTGTAGAGAAGAAGAATGGCTTCAAAGTTCATCAAATGTGTAACTGTTGGTGATGGTGCTGTTGGTAAAACCTGTATGCTCATCTGCTACACCAGCAACAAGTTCCCTACTGTGAGTTTTTTGATCAAGAATCTCAGATTCACTTGAAAGTTCCAATCCTTTTTAGAAATGTTTATCTGGGTATCTCCAATTCACTGAGAATCTTTATGGGTTTTGTCAAATTTTAGCTTCCCATTGCTTAAAGGTTCTTAGAATTCATCTGTGTGATTCAAAGTTAGCTCCTTTTTATAGGGGTTATGCATGAAACTAAGATCCAAATTTTGCAGCTTTTTTGTGTGTTTCTCCTAACAACTTCTGAATTCTTGAGAAAGTTTCAGTCTTTTACTAAAATTTTATCTGGGTTTTGTCAAATTTTAGCTTCCTCTTGCTTAAAGGTTCTTAGAATTCATCTGTGTAATTCAAAGTTTACTCCTTTTCTAGGGATTGTGTATGAACTACGATCCCATTTTTTGCAGCTTCTTGTGTGTTGTTATATTATTAACTTTCATTGTGAATTGATTTTGATGAACTTGTTGTAACAGGACTACGTACCAACAGTTTTTGACAACTTTAGTGCAAACGTTGTAGTTGAAGGCACCACTGTGAACTTAGGTCTATGGGATACTGCTGGTATGAACCGTTGTTTGGTTGATTTGAGATTGTTGCATAGACCAAGATTCAGTTTGGGGTTGTGTTTTGTTTTTTTATTGCAGGGCAAGAAGACTATAACAGATTAAGGCCTTTAAGTTACAGAGGAGCAGATGTTTTCGTATTGTCATTCTCATTAATCAGCAGAGCTAGCTACGAGAATGTTTTTAAAAAGGTTTGATTCATCCTTTTTCTCTTGAGATGTTTTTAATAAGACTTGAAAAAAAAATGTCTAATGTTGTATGACTGTTCTTGTTGTGTCAGTGGATCCCTGAGCTCCAGCACTTTGCACCAGGAGTTCCATTAGTTCTTGTCGGTACCAAATTAGGTAAGAAAACTGATTAGCATTTGCCTCGGCATTGTTCAGACATAGTTACATTTATTTTATGATTATTACTACATCAATGTAGATCTACGTGAAGATAAGCATTATCTGGCTGACCATCCTGGACTATCCCCTGTGACTACTGCACAGGTTTGATCATCTGAGTAGATTTCATATGACTCCTTTTTTAAGGCTTTGTGTGTATGAGTAAACGTTTTGATGTGACAGGGAGAGGAACTGCGTAAGCTAATAGGTGCAACATATTACATTGAATGTAGCTCAAAAACTCAACAGGTACATAACAGATTCATTTACATTGACTGTGACTGCATAGTCTTAGACAACTCTGAAGTTTACACATTTTGCAGAATGTGAAAGCAGTTTTTGATTCAGCAATCAAGGAAGTGATCAAACCAGTGGTTAAACAGAAGGAGAAGAGCAAGAAAAAGAAGAAGCAACAGTCCAATCACGGATGTTTATCGTGAGTGTATACACAACAAACCTTCATAGACTCTGCGTCTATATTCCTTTGAAAAGACACTAACTTCACCCTTTTGTTTCTGTCACAGAAACGTTCTCTGTGGGAGGATAGTTACTCGGCATTGATGTTTTAGAGTTCTACTTTTGAGTTTTGTATGATAAATGAGGAACACATTATATATTATATTGAATCATGTAAGAGAGAGATAAGAGAGCTTTACTATATATAGTCAACTCAATTATGTTTATTCGTTACAAACCTGTCATTGCAATATATCATCAGCCATTTTGTTGCAACAGAGAGTAAAAGTTCACTTGTTCAACCATAATAACTACCACAAGTAGAACAATCTAGAAAAGAGTTGTGCTGACTATATAATACAAACCATGGCAAATTTTTATCTCTCAGTCTCATACCAAGTACCAACAATGCTTTTAAGGACCATCACCATCATTTTTTTTCTTCTTACAAGAAAACTAAAAAAAACACAAACTAAACACTCTTGTCTTGCCTTTTCAGTTCAGATACATAGATGTTAGAGAAGACAACGAGTATTGTGTTGTTTTTTAAAACGATCACCTGGCAAAACTCTTTGAGATGAGAGAGCAAATAAACAAAGCGATGATGATGATGATGGTCTTGGTTAATCTGAGAGTTTTTATATGCCATGCCTGTGAAAAAAAAACGAAACTGTTTGGAAGTGTATCTACATGATGATTGTAAAACAGAGGGGTCAGATTTTTTTTTCCTAAGGAACTGTCCTTTGTGGCGTGCAGTCTGCTTTTATCTTCAGAGTACCTAGAAGTAAACAAAGAGCAATACGAAACAAAGTCAAGAGAGAAACAAAATCAAGAGATAATATAAATAGGGTGAAAAAGAGAGTAAAAAAATATACTTACAGCCTTAGTGCAACGGCCTACAAAGAAATTCACAGGTTTGTTATTTGCCAAAAGGATTACTTATATCCTCCATCCCACCCACCGTCTGGTTCCTTCCTCTTGAGAGTCCCACCTGACATTTGATACATTCTTGCTTCATCTCTCAAAGGTAAAGAGCCAGATGAAGATAGCTGTCTTTGTACAAGTGCTGCTTCATCTCTGCCATCAGTTTCATGCCCTCCTGGTCCAGAGTTCAAGTCAAAACCAGATCTAAACCATTTTGCATTGTTGTTGCTGTCCGAAACTCCAACATTGCCACTACCGTTTGGGAGGTTAACGACATAAGGCCTTGGGTAATTAGATGGCATGGCTACTCCTGGACCCAATATTTGAGAGTTGGCAGGAGGGAAGCATAGTCTGCCACTTGATGAAGAGTCCATGTATGGTGTTGAAGCGCCTGAGAAATTCGCTGAGGAAAGAGGAAAGCTGGTTCCGAAAGGAAACCCGGGATACTGAAATGCTGTGGCCGGGATTGAAACTGCTGGAGAAGACAGTAAGACTGAGCCTCTGTACATATCAGGTGTAAATGAGGAAACTCCGGATGTTGGACCCACCATTCTCTGCGGTCCATTGCCTCGTTCATGCAAGATTTGAGGAATACTCATTGCTGGATAATTGTTAACAGCAGGAAACCAAGATGAGAAGCCAGGCCTTATTCCGCTGATCATTGGCTGTGCACTTCGGGAATTTTGACTGAAACCCATCGATGATTCAACGTTAACATCATCAACAGCAGGTCCGTCGTTTAAATCAAAATCCCTACTGCCACCAGAAGATAAGTTTGCCTGTTGAAAAGTTGAATCCACCCGATGACCACTGCTTATTGTATGATTGTTCATATCAGCTGGATCATCAAGTCTGTTTAGATCAAGATCCAGGCCACCAGAGGAATTTGTGGGATTGGCAAATCTTTGGGAAGCCAGTTCTTCAAGAACTCTCTCGTCGGGTACATTTAGGTCAAAATCCAAGAACATTTGCTTGCCAGCAGTTGTAGAAGCATCAGAGGAAGACACCTCTTGGACTTTTCTTGGCTCAGCTGGCCGGAAAGCGCTAGTGGCAGCAGACCCTCTCCACCCAACAGTTGCTTTGTTTCTCAACAGATCCTCACGTGGAACAAAAGCACCCTTTGCAGCAGCAGCAACTGTAATGGATCCAGGAAGTCTACTGGGTTGTAATGGAGTAGGTGTCACAGACAACGGTCCACAGAAGTTACTTGAATTCTCCTTTCGTGTATCATCCCCATTGAAAGCTTCATTTAAGTCAAATTTAACTCTGGCTTCCACCTCTGACCCTGCTAAAGCTGACACTGAAGGAACATCTTTGGCAACAGAGGTACATTCCTGCGCTTCATTCCCATCAGCACATGCTGTCGTGACGCACTGTTTTCCGACTTCAGCACTCTTTAGACACGCTTCTAGATGCTCAACTTCCTTTTTAGCTATAGATGAGTCCAGACGAGCTGTCACAGGCTTGTCCTTTTTATCTGTTTGGTTCACATGATTAATCCCCATGTCAATCTTTTCTGCAGCCACGCCCTTCGAGAACCCAGACGAAACTGTTACATCTTCATCCGTTTCTTTAACCAGCTCAGAACTCAAGGCTACAGGGGGTTTCTGCTCTTTCTTGTTATCAACTACTACATCAGAATGTGTATTTGCGACAGCCAGGGATTCTACTTTGGGACATAAAACGATGGCTTCAGATTTAGCTGGCGCAGAAGTTTCTACTGATGTACAAGCAGCCTTTCGATCCTTAGCTGTTCCACCACAATCATTATCATCAGACAATTTCTCTGGCATCGATCTATCAACATTTTCAGCACTCCTATCCTTGGCAAACTCTGACAAAACTGATACTTCACCCATTTTATTAACTTGTTCAGAACTCAATATCACCTTTGGTTTCTCTTCCACCTGAGCACTACCAACAGCCTCCAAGTGTGAATCTTCAGCAGTCAAAGAATTTGTTGCATTTCGACTGATGCCAATGGTTTTGCATTTACGTAAGGCAGATTCTCCTGTCCTCGTCACTATCTCTGCCACTTGATCTGTCTCTGATATCTCATCGGTCTTTAGGTCACTAACTACCCCACTATCACCATCATCAGAAATGTTTTCCTCAATGCCTGATGTGTGCCCACCGGTTGGAGCAATGTCATCTGAATTCTCATTGCTTTCTAGGCACTGATCCACCAATCTTTGCAACTCTTCTATTTCTGAATCGGAGTTCTCATCAAGATCTCCCGGCTTAGAATCATCCACATTCTCCACAACGGCCAACTGCTCGCCACTACTGCTGACATGTTCAACAACGGCGGGATTCACATTCTCAGCTTGCTCGCTAGGCAAGCCATCCAAAGAATTTCTGATTCCTGTTGTATGGTTCTCCGAAATGGAATTATCATTCATCAAGGAACCTGAAACCCGGGATACCGAGGGTGATGCAATAGGGGATTTGGACATTTCATCAGCAGCAACGGTAGCAAGAAGATTCATTCCAACATCATCTGCACCAGCCACACATGCATTCGCCTCAGAGTCCCTAACACAGCTTTCAATTAAAGCATTCATTAAGTTGTGTGATTCACCATGCCTTTTTCCAGTTTTGACATCATCTCCTAAGGTAGGAGACGTGGGCTTGACAATATCTTCTATTTTACTAGACTCATTAACAGCCTTCCCCTGCTCATCACCACGTTTATGTAGCTTAACAATCAGCTTATTACTAGAACCTTCAGCCACAGGCACGTCAATAGTCTTCCCATGTGTAGGAGTTGTTTGAGACACCTTTTCAGAAGTGTCGTTTCTTTGTGATGATAAGCTCCTGCTCAGCCCAACATCTGTATGGAGTGCACCAGTATTTCTTTGCTGCCCATCATTAGCAACAACGACACCTGTTCCAGGTGATGGGGCTGAACTAGTAGAACTAGGAGAGGTGGTTGCAGACTTCGCGCTGTTATCTGAGGTTATTTTGACGGACACGGACTTAAAAGGATGTAGATGAGATACTGATGTCTTGGTTGCATCGAAGGATACAACTGAATGTCTACTGCCATGGGAAACTTCAGACTGATGACGTCTTCCAGGCCAAGATGCGCCCTGATTGGATCCAGACTTGGCATCCATTTCTGCCTCAACACGCTTCTTCCATGTATCAACCAAGCTCCTTGCCTTTCTCGCAATTTCTGAGTTCTTATTTGATCGCAAACGATTAACAGACTTTCCAATGTTGCAAGTCTGAAGAGCGTTGAGGTTCACAGGCAGCTTGTCAAGAGCACGCAGCAAGATCAAAAGAAAATCGTCCACTGATCTATCATTGTCTTTAGGACTGCTCCCATCCCCAATTTTCCCTCTATGAATTTCCTGTAGCCACTCATCAAAAACAGGTAATCCCCTCAGTTGAACAAAACGACTAAGACAATCAAACTTGTCTGTTGCTGCCACAACGCTTGCAAGAACTGATCGCCCAATCAAATCTGTTTTCTTCTCATTCTTCTCAGGCAGCATGAGCTGTACCAATTTCTCAACCCCTTCAAAATCAACCAGCCTGCCTTTTTCAGTAATTTTCGCAATCTCAGATTTCAAACTACTTTCTGATCTTACAAAACCAGAACTACTATCATCAATCCTACTTGAACGTTCCCTTTTCACAGACTCAGAACCCTGATCACCACCACGCTCTCTCTTCCTTCCCTTACCCTGTGAAGAAAAGGAGCTACTACTCTGCATACCGTCTGTTCCTCTTTTAACTTCAGATGTTGTCGGACTAGTCATTAACCTAGGAGAACGACTCTGTAATGTCTTACTCAATAACTTATCTACTTCTTGTTGACGTTCCTACACAATAACAAAAAGGGTCATCAACACCAGAGAAGAAACACTGGATAATAATCATCAAGATCTTGCTTCCTTACATCGATATAATCTTGATCAGTGAGCCACCAAATAGACTCATTCATAACATCATAAACCCTCCAACAAACAAACGAGGAGATTCCAGGAGCGAGTTCAACGCCTTTGGGAAGAAAAGTAACTTTACACGGATGAAGCAAAGACGCAGCAGGTATCTCATCCTCGTGAAAGGAATAAAACACTTCGTTAGGCTTAGCCTCCAAAAGGACGCCTCTGCCAAGCTTCAACTCACCAGGCCTATAAAGCCAATTCACACGAACCTTAAAGTTGCCTTCTTTTTGAGGAAGCAGCAAACGGATCAAACCAATAAACGGTGGGCAATAATCTTGTGGTGGCTTAAACAGAGCACAGTCACCAACACTAATCCTCCTCCCGTCCTACAAAAAAAATTCAAGCTTTTCAATCAATCAATCATAAAAATCAAAACTTTGGATCCAATTGAGTGAATAATTGAAAAATTGAAGGACTAAATTGTAATTATTACCTTAGAGAAGGAAGTAGGTGAAGAGAGAGATAGAGAGGAAGAAGACGAAGAAGAAGGAGCCTCCACGCTTGAGATTAGACGAGAAGGAGGTTTAAACATAAGCAAAGGACGATGACCTTTCTTCCTCCCATGCATAGCCGTCTCTCATTTTCCCCTTTTCGAATTAATTAAAACGGAAATTGGGATTCGATTTGGGGTTGAGAAAAAAAAAAAAAGAAACCCTAATTTAAGAAAGAAGATGCGATTTCGTTATTGGAAAATTGAGTACCTGATCCAATCGAACACCGAGAAGATCCGACAACGAGAAGAAGTGTTAAGAGAGCGAGAGAGAGATTGAGAAGACGAAGCGGAAGCGAAGTTTTGTTTTTTCGATCCAGCGAAGAAGAAGAAAAAATAAAATCGAGAGAGAGAGAGAGGGGACGAGGCAAAAGGGGATACTTACGAGTTGGGGCAGTTCGGGTATGTGTTTCGGGCAGCGTTTTTTTATTTATTTTGTTTTTTGTTTTTTTTTTGGTGACATTTTTGAGTGTGTTTTTCTCTCCCTTTTAATAGCTCTTTTGGTTTTCTAGTTGTTTTTTTTTCTTTGTTCAAAAAAAAAAAAAAAGTTTTCTAGTTTTTTTTATAAATTCAAAAGATAACAACTATGTGATTTTTTAAAAAAAATATTATTTGGGTAAACAAGAAATAATACAAAATTATGATAATTTTCAATGAAAAACTCTCAAATAAATGTTAGTTTCACTCTAATAATATTTGCAGGAGAAAATTTCGAGTTTGAAGGCATACTACTATTACACTTCACTTTCTGACTATACGTTGAATTATTGTTTTTGGTCTACTTGAATGTCTAGAATAGGATCCATTTTGTGAATTGTGTCTCTATCCGAAGATTATGTATGTTTCTTTAATAGATTCTAGATTTAACATATTAGTCATAAAAAATAGAGAAAAATATTTTTTTTTGTTTTAGGTGAACATATTGGAGTATGTATTAGAGAGTTTCGATTTTTAGTGGGAAATTTTGAAGAGAGATTATCTATATAGCAAGTAAACCAAAAAAAATTTAATCATGAATTGTTTCTACAAGTACTAGTTTGTAACAAAACCGATCAGTTTATGTAATAATTTTGTGAACTGATCCGGTTTATTCTGGCTGATTTCGGTTTGAATGTGGTGACCTACCCTCTACAACGTGTGTATTTTGCTTATGATTTTTTTAACCATAGTTATGTGAGAATCTTTGTCGTTACATATGTTCAGTGTCAAATCACTGTCATCAAAGTACAAGTGACCAATCATTGTCTCTCTTTTGACACAGACAATTAACTTTTTACATTGATACTCTCGGAAGCTATTTGAGTAGAGCTTCCAGTGACATTTTTCTTCTTCACTCACCGATTTCTCCTAAATATGTAGGAACATCTCAAGATTTTGAGACAGTAATGTTAGCTACTTTAAACCAATTGAGTCTATAGAGGAAATGAAATACACATGCTTTCATCAAAATGCAATTTATTTCTTTCTTTGCTGAAACTCACCCAACCCATGACTAAAATGGCTCTTGTCACATAATGCAAGAGTAACCAATGCTCAACCATAGACAGGTACAATCATCAGAACACACTTCAATTCTTGAGCCATAATAATGTATTTATGATTTGTTCAGTGCCTTAACCAAAACGTATTGAGTTTAACAAAAAAACGATTAACTTGCTAATCATTGGGAGACTTGAGCTATATGATATGGAAGTTGTGAACTACATTTTCTCCATTTTAAGAGATTGCTTAACAGTCATTGAACTAACAGTTCTGTTTATGGTTTTTGTTGTCAACGAGTTTCTATTTTGGGTTAGTAGTATTAAATGGGCCGGATGGCGGGTCTTAATAAATTTAAATGGGCTGATATCCCAGATCATATGATATAAGAGATATCATTACAAATCATATGATGATCTTGAATGGCAATTAGAGTTGAGAGTGAGCGGAGTCTACAAGAAGATCACATTTGGTTTCACCTCATATAAGCAGATTTGCTGCTTATAATGACTGGTATCTATCTATCTATCTCTCTCTCTATAGCGTCCACAACGATGCCATACTTCACTTCTCTACCATTTCAGATGCAGTTTTTCCCAATGTCTCATGGGCTGATTAAATATGAGGATCAGTGCAATAACCCTGGGAGGGTTAGAATTGGCTGACACCATCCTAGACTATCCCCTCAATATTTCATATGATTCCTTTTTAAGGCTTTGTCTGACAAACTCTGCTTCTAAATTCCTTTGAAAGAACACTGACTTCACCTCTTTGTTTTTTAGACAGAAATGTTCTGTGTGGGAGGATAGTGACTCGGCATTGATGATAACCCAAACCCTGTCTTTTATTTTGTAATTCCACTTTTTAGTTTGTATATGGAAGAGAGATTAAAAGGTTTACATAGGAGAGAACTGAGAGAGTTTAACTATTGTCAAAACAATTATGTCAACTGTTTTAAACCTGTTATTGCAATATATCATCAGCCATTTTGTTGTAACAGATAAAAGTTCTGAAATGTGGTTCAACCATAAACTACCACAAGTAAAAAAGAAAAATCTACAAAAGAGTTCTGACTGACTATATAATACACAAACCATGGCAGATTTTAATCTCTCAGTCTCATACCAAAGAGGCCCATCACCATCTTTTTTTCTTTTACAGCAGAACTCAAAAACAAAAACATAAACTAAACACTCGCTTGCATCTCTAACAGAGATAATGGACTAAGTTAGCGTCTGCTTTTATCTTCAAGAGTACCTAGAGCGAACAAAGATGGATTTGAAACACAGTCAGAGAGAGAGAGAGAGACAGAGCTAGAAAGAAACAGAAGATAGTTAAATATGCTTACATGCTTAGTGCAACGGCCTACAAAGAGATCAGAGGTTTGTTATTGCCAAGAGGATTGCTTGTATCCATCCCATCCACTGTCTGGATCCTTCCTCTTGAGAGTCCCACCTGACATTTGATACATTCTCGCTTCATCTTTCAAGGGTAAAGAACCAGAGGAAGATAGCTGTCTTTGTACAAGTGCTGCTTCATCTCTGCCATCAGTTTCATGCCCTCCTGGTCCAGAGTTTAAGTCAAGACCAGGTCTAAACCATTTTGCATCGTTGTTGCTGTTCGAAACTCCACCATTGCTACTACCGTTTGGGAGGCTAACCACATAAGGCCTAGGGTAATTAGAAGAGATGGCAACTCCTGGACCCAATATTTGAGAGTTGACAGGAGGAAAACATAGCCTTCCACTTGATGAAGAGTCCATGTATGGTGTTGAAGCACCTGAAAAATTTGCTGAGGAAAGAGGAAAGCTGGAACCGAAAGGAAACCCGGGATACTGAAATGTTGTGGGCGGGAATGAAACAGCTGGAGAAGACAGTAAAACAGGGCCTCTGTACATATCAGGTGTAAATGAGGAAACTCTAGATGTTGGACCACCCATTCTCTGAGGTCCATTGCTGGTAATGACAGGAAAAGGCTGATCGTCTCGTTCAGGCAAGACTTGAGGTATACTCATCGCTGCATAACTGTTGGCAGCAGGAAACCAAGATGAGAAGCCAGGTGCCATGTTCTCAGCGCTCATTCTTATTCCAGTCATCATTGGCTGTGCACTTCGGGAATTTTGACTAAACCCCATAGAGGACTCAACGTCAACATCATCAACAGCCGGTCCGTCGTTTAAATCAAAGTCTCTAAGACCACCAGAAGATAAGTTTGCTTGGTGAAAAGATGAGTCCACCCGATGACCACTGCTTATTGTATGATTGTTCATATCAGCTGGATCATCAAGTCTGTTTAGATCAAGATCCAAGCCACTAGAGGAATTTGTGGGATTGGCAAATCGTTGGGAAGGTAGATCTTCAAGAGCTCTATCATCCGGTACATTTAGGTCGAAGTCAAAGAATGTCTTTGTTTGGTTTACAGGGGTTCTAGAAGCATCACAGGAAGTCACATTATTCACGCTTGGTGGCACCGCCTCTTGGACTTTTCTTGGCTCAGGTGGCCGGAAGGCGCTAGTGGCAGCAGATCCTCTCCAGCCAACAGTTGCTTTATTTCTCAACAGATCATCACATGGAACAAATGCACCTTTTGCAGCAGCAGCAACTGTAATAGATGCAGGAGGTTGACTGGATGGTAAAGGAGTAGGTGTCAGACACACAGATCCAGAGAAGTTATTTGAATTCCCAACTCGTGTATCATCCCCTTTGAAACCTTCATTTAGATCAAATTCAACTTTGGTATCCATCTCTGACCCCGCTGAAACTGAAGGAACGTCTTTAGCAACAGAGGTACATTCCTGCGCTTCATTACCATCAGCACATACTATTGTGGGGCACTGTTTTCCGACTTCAGCACTCTTTATAGACGCCTCTAGATGCTCAACTTCCTTCTTAGTTATAGATGAGTCCAGATGAGCTGTCACAGGCTTGATCTTTTTATCTGTTTGGTTCACGTGATTAATTCCCATGTCGATCTTTTCTGCAGCCACGCCCTTGGAGAACCCAGACGAAACTTTTACATCTTCACCCATTTCTTTAACCAACTCAGAACTCAAGGCTACCAGTGGTTTCTGCTCTTTCTTGTCATCAACTACTACATCAGAGTGTGTATTTGCGACAGCCAAGGATTCTACTTTGGGACATAACACGATGGCTTTACATTCAGCTGGCGCAGAAGTTTCCACCCTTTCAGTTGTATCTGAAACCGGATCTGACACTGATGTACAAGCAGCCTTCCGATCGTTAGCTGTTCCACCACAATCATTATCATCAGAATTTTTCTCTGGCATCGATCTATCAACATTTTCAGTACTCCTGTCCTTGGCAAACTCTGATACTTCACCCATTTTATTAACTAGCTCAGAACTCAACATCACCTTGGGTTTATCTTCCACCTGAGCACCACCAACAGTCTCCAAGTGTGAATCTTCAGCAGTCAAAGAATCTGTTGCATTTTGACTTATGCCAATGGTTTTGCATTTACGTAAAGCAGAGTCTCCTGTCCTCGTCGCTGTTTCTGCCATTCGATCTGTCTTTGATATCTCATCAGTCTTTAGGTCAGTAACGACCCCACTGTCACCATCATCAGAAATGTTTCCCCCAATACCTGATGTGTGTCCAGCGGTTGGAGCAATATCATCTGAATTTTCATTGCTTTCTTCTAGGCACTGATCCACCAATCTTTGCAACTCTTCGATTTCTGAATCAGAAGGCTTAGAATCATTCACATTCTGCTCGCCACTACTACTGACATGTTCAACAACGGTGGGATCCTTGGCAAGAGCTTCAGCTTGCTCGCTAGGCAAGGCAACCACAGATTTTGTGATTCCCGTTGTATGCTTCTCTGAAATGGATTTATCATTCATCAAGGAATCTGAAACCCGGGACACCGAAGGTGATGCAACAGGGGATTTGGACATTTCATCAGCAGCAACAGTAGCTAAAAGATTCATTCCAACGTCTTCTGCACTAGCCTCATTTGCCTCAGAGTCCCTGACACAGCTTTCAATCAAGGCATTCATTGAGCTGTGTGATCCACCATGCTTTTTTTCAGCTTTGACAACATCTCCTAAGGTAGGAGACGTGGGTTTGGCAATATCTTCTATTTTACTAGACCCATCAAGGCTTACAGTAGCTCGATTTGTATCACTGATGTCTTTAACATTTCGGTCAGCCTGATCATGCTTTTCTGAAGGAACCGGTGATGGAGCTCTGCTACTACCAGCTGCATAATCCTCAAAGGAACCTCCACTGAAAGTCTGTGCTGGACTGCGACCACGTTTTGGAAGCTTAACAATAAACTTGTTACTGCAACCTTCAGCCACAGGTACGTCGAGAGCCTTTTCAGGTGTCAGAGTAGATTGAGATACTTTCTCAAAAGTTGTAGTTCTTTGTGATGAGAAGCTCCTGCTCAGCCCAACTTCTCTATGGACTGCACCAGTATCTCTGTGCTGCCCATCGTTAACAACAGCTACACCTGTTCCAGGTGATGGTGCTGATCTAGTAGAACATGGAGATGTGGTTGCAGACTTCACGTTGTTATCTGACGGTATAGTGACAGACACAGACTTAGAAGGATGTAGATGAGATGCTGATGTCTTGGCTGCATCAGCAGATACACCTGAATGTCTACTGCCATGAGAAACTTCAGACTGACGAGATCTCCCAGGCCAAGATGCACCCTGATTAGATCCAGACTTGGCATCCATTTCTGCCTCAACACGCTTCTTCCATGTATCAACCAAGCTTCTTGCCTTTTTCCCAATCTCTGAGTTCTTATGTGATCGCAAATGGTTAACAGACTTTCCGATGTTGCAGGTCTGAAGAGCATTAAGATTCACAGGCAGCTTGTCAAGGGCACGCAACAAGATCAAAAGAAAATCATCCACTGATCTACCATTATCTTTGGGGCTGCTCCCATCCCCAATTTTCCCTTTATGAATTTCCTGTAGCCACTCATCAAAAACAGGTAATCCCCTTAGTTGAACAAAACGACTAAGACAATCAAACTTATCTGTTGCTGCTACAACACTTGCAAGAATTGATCGCCCAATCAAGTCTGTTTTCTTCTCATTCCTCTCAGGCAGCATGAGCTGTACCAATCTCTCAACCCCTTCAGAATCCACTAGCCTGCCTTTTTCAGTAATTTTTGCAATCTCAGATTTCAAACTGCTTTCTGTTCTTACAAAACCGGAACCACTATCATCAATCCTACTTGAACGTTCCCTTTTCACAGATTCGGAACCCTGATCACCACGCTCTCTCTTCCTTCCCTTACCCTGTGAAGAAAAGGAGCTGCTACTCATACTGTCTGTTCCTGTTTTCACTTGGGATGTTGTCGGACTATTCAATGACCTAGGAGAACGACCACCTTGCTGTAATGTCATCTCGGTACGCGTCTTATACAATAATTTATCTACTTCTTGTTGACGTTCCTGCATAATAACAAAGTGGTTTTCAATACCAGAGAACAAACAGAAGAGAAAATTAGATAATGATAACGATTATGATCTCTCTTACATCGATATAATCTTGATCAGTGAGCCACCAAATAGACTCATTCATAACATCATAAACCCTCCAACAAACAAACGAAGAGATTCCAGATGGGAGTTCAACGCCTTTGGGAAGAAAGGTAACTTTACACGGATGAAGCAAAGACGCAGCAGGTATCTCATCCTCGTGAAACGAGTAAAAGATCTCGTTAGGCTTAGCCTCCAAATGGACGCCTCTGCCAAGCTTCAACTCACCAGGTCTATAAAGCCAATTCACACGCAGCTTAAAGTTGCCTTCTTTCTGAGGAAGAAGCAAACGGATCAAACCAATGAAAGGTGGACAATCTTGTGGTGGCTTAAACAGAGCACAGTCACCAACACTAATCCTCCTCCCGTCCTGCAATAACATAAAAAAAAATCAAATTTTAAAATCCGATTGAACGAATATTTGAGCAATCAAACATTTACAAAATCAAAACTTTCAAATCCAAATTGAACCAATCTTCGATCAACCAAGCCAAAAACATTTACAAAAATCATTACTTTAAAATCAAAACTTAAAAATCGAAAAAAAAAACATCAAAAAATTCAAACTTTCAAATCCAATTGAACAAATCTTCGAGCAACCAAGCCAAATCCAAATTGAACCAATCTTCAAGCAACCAATCCAAAAAAACATTCACAAAAAAAAAAAAAATCAAAACTTTGAATCCAAATTGAATGAATAATTGACAAATCCAAGGACCAAATTGTAATTACCTTAGAAAACGAAGAAGGTGAAGAGAGAGATAAAGACGAAGAAGACGAAGAAGAACCAGAAGCCTCCAAGCTCGAAATTAGACGCGAAGGAGGTCTAAACATAAGCCGACGACGATGACCTTTCTTCCTCTCCTCAGAAACCCCTCTCCCATGCATAGACAACGTCACTCATCTTTTTCCCCCCCTAACAAAATCGAAAATTCTCAGAATTGGAACCCTAATTGCGATTTTCACGATTATTCCTTAGGGTTTCATTTTTATGAATACCTGATCCGCGAAAGAAGATCTAAAAGCACGATTCAATCCGTAGAAGAGACCGACGAAACACGAATCCACGAAAGCCGCCTTTGTTTTTTTTTTTTTTTTTTCGATCCAGCAAGCGAGAGAGAGAGAGAGAGAGAGGAAAGAGTTTTTATCGAAGAGAGAAAAAAAATGAGGGAGAAAGGGGGATTACTAGTTTGGAAGGAGTCGGGCAGTACGGGCATGTGTTTCGGGCAACGTTTTGTTCATTTTTTTCAGGTGTACATTGAGAGATTTTTGGGTGTTTTTATCTCCCCCTTTTAATAGCTCTTTTGACTTTCTATTTTTTTTTTTTTTTTTACTAAACTAAAAATAAAATTCGTGATTTTTTTTTTACTTTATTTAAGTTAAACAAAAAGATAAATGTATTCTGGAAGGAAAGATAAGATCATTCCAATCCACTTTTTTTTAGAAATAGAGAAATGTTATACTATTATACACTATATATAGAAAATAATATTTTTATGAATAGAGAGAGATATATTATTTCTATATTCTAGAACTTCACTTCAATATCATTCCAATCCATTTTTATAGAAATAGAGAAATATTATCCACTATTTACAGAAAATAATATTTTTATAAGTAGAGAAAAATATTACATTTCTATATTCTAGAGGAACATATAGAAATAAATGTGAATTTCACTTCAATATCATTCTAATCCATTTTTATAGGAATAGGAAAATGTTATCCACTATTTGTAGAAAATAAAAAAATTATGAATAGAAAGAAATATAACATTTCTATATTCGAGAGGAACATATCAAAATAAATTTGAATTTCACTCTAATACCATTCCAATCCATTTTTATAAAAAATAATATTTTTATGAATAGAGAGAAATATATCATTTCTATATTTTAGAGAAACATAGTGAACTTCACTTCAATGTCATTCCGATCCACTTTTATAGAAATAGAGAAATATTATCTACTATTTACAGAAAATAATATTTTTATAAATAGAGAAAAATATTACATTTCTATATTCTAGAGGAACATATCGGAATAATGTGCATTTCAATCTAATATCATTCCAAACCATTCATTAGAAATGGAGAAAATCATCCACTATTTACAGAAAATAATCATTTTTATAAATAGAGAAAAAATATAATATTTCTATATTTTAGAAGAACATATCAGAATAATTGTGAGTTTCACTCCAATGTTTTGTTTCACTCCAATGTTTTGTTTAAAAAGAGAAATTTGAGTGAACAAAAAAAAAGAGAAATTTTAATATTATCCAACATTTATAGAAGAAAATATAGTATTTATCTGTAAATTGAGAGAAATATAACATTCTTCTTATGTATTTGAGAGTTCATATGTTTTAGTGGACAAAAATAGAAGAGACATTGTTATTTTTGTTAGTAAATATCTATCTATCTTATTAAAGTTGTAGTACTCTTTAGGTTTGTTTGGAAACTTAAATAGTAATAATAAAAAGTTTAATGTTGTTTGGTTGTAAGTTTAAATAGAGTTAGACTTTTAAACATTGTTATAATAGAATTGGGCTTTTGTTTAATTTATTTTATGTTATGGTTGGCTTTAATCATTTGGTCCATTGTAGTAATTTGTGTTTTTAGTTTATATTTTCTATAAAGACCATATTCAATTTTATTTATCTATCTTATTAAAGTTGTAGTACTCTTTAGGTTTGTTTGGAAACTTAAATAGTATTAATAAAGAGTTTAATGTTGTTTGGCTATAAGTTTAATAGAGTTGGGCTTTTAAACATTGTTATAATAGAATTGAGCTTTTGTTTAATTTATTTTATGTTATAGTTAGCTTTAATCATTTGGCCCATTGTAGTAATTTGTGTTTTTAGTTTATATTTTATATAAAGACCATATTCAATTTTATTCATTGTTGACTAAATTAAAAATAACATCAGTTTGTAAGATAATAAAAATTTACATTTCAAATAATTTAATACTCAAATATATTTTATCTAAAGTATTTTACATTATTCAAATTATCATAAAGACACAAAATATTTGAATAGTTTTAACTAAAATATTAAAATTTTGTTTTCGTAACTGGATATATATCCGAAACACCTATCCCCTCCCCCAAAATCAGTTTTACCCCGATTAATCTAAAATTAATTTTAGAAATCGTAACCAAACTGTTATCATATTGAAATCAAAAATTTATCTGATATTAGTCGGTTATTATAATTATTACCAAACTCAGCTCAAACCAAAAGAATCGAACCGGACGCAAATCAATTTATATAGATAACAGAACAGATCTTATATCTGTAGAATTAAAAAAAACTACGAACATAAAGAATCCAACAAAAGTTGAACCCAAAATTAAACCCCAGTCCTATTACATTCAATACGATCATAGTTTTTGAAATACGGTAATAACCGATGACTTGTGAATATATTATATTTTTCCAGATTAAGTTAAACCCGCGCCGGTGCGCGGATCAAGATCTAGTGTATATTTATATTTCATGTTAATTAAAAAAAGTTTAGTGATAATTAATAAAGTGTTAGAAACCCAATCAATTTATATAACAAATTGTGAATTGTTCCGGTTATTCTGGCCGATTCCGGTTTTCAACCTACTCTTAATCAATTTATATAATACTCTTGTCGTTACATTGCCCAGTGTCAAATCACTATCGACAAAGTACAAGTGACCAGTGTCCAATCATTGTCTCTCTTGACACAAACATTATAACTTTTTTTTTACAATGAGATCCTAATTACACTACAGAAGCCATTTGAGTCTGCTTCCAGAGACATTTGTTTTCTTCACTACAGAATATGCAGTTATCAATCAAATCTTTCCTAATTTAAAACCAAAGAGATCAGAAAATGAAGCATATAATCGCCTAACCGCATGCCTTCATCAAAATTTAATGTTTTGTATCTTTAATGAAACTCATCAAACTCATGACCAAATTGGCTCTTGTGCCACATCGTTGCTTACAAGCGTTTGTCACATTATGCAAGAGTAGCCATTATCTTTTACGCATCAAACTCATGACCAAATTGGCTCTTAGTGCCACATCGTTGCTTACAAGCGTTTGTCACATTATGCAAGAGTAGCCAGCCATTATCTTTTACGCATCAAACTCATGACCAAATTGGCTCTCATGCCACATCGTTGCTTACAAGTCTTCAACTAGACTTGTGTTGACAGCATCATCATTATATGATTGAACAAGAGGTACACAACCAACAAACACGTATCTTTCAACTCTCGAATCATAATGTACTTTTTTTTTTATAACACTAAGAGAGTACAAGGTTCGTCGAAACGAAAAAATGATACAAAAGACAAAGAAATAAGATGTCAGAAGACACCATTAAAGAGGGAAAAGAAGAGGAGCTTACAAACTCTTTCTTACACTACCTCCAAAGCGAGTAAGTGATGAAGCCACGATGGAACATTCTGGGCGATATACGACTATCATAATGTACTTAAGAGTGTAATAATGATCAATGCCTTGAACCATAATGTAATGAGGTTAAAAGAGTACATTTTCATACATGTTCAATGCCTTGAACCATAATGTAATAAGGTTAAACGAGTGTTTGATTAACTTGCTAAGCATTGCTAATCATTATATAATCAGGAAGTTGTAAAACTAGTTTTTCTCCATTTTAAGAGATTGCTTAACAGTGTTTGGACTAATTCTTTATGTTTTTTGTTTTCAAACGAGATTGTATTTTGGGTTAATAAACTAGTACTAATGGGCCGGATCCGGGTCTGACGAAATTTAATCGGCCGCAAAGCCCGTCTTACCAAACATGGGCCTAATCCGTCTCAAAACTCTGTTTTTTTTTGTTTCTATATTTGAAAAGCACCTTTCAGTTAGCTAAAAAGAAAATCTTTAGCTTTTTTTTTGTAAACCATAGGAGGTCGAAAATATAACTACATATGCTACACTTATACATCACGTCATAAATTACATGATTACAATACACCTTTTTATTTGGTATGGGGAAGGGAACAGAAAAAGACAGGAGCAGGCTGGCTCGTAGATCTAAACCAACCATGAGCCACCGTTTGTCAAAATCCTAAAGAGAATTATCGAAACTATAGTAGTACTATACTTCTCTACATTTGTAAAACACTTGACGGATTAATTAGCACAAACGAGTATCAACATTACAATAGTTAATTAGATAGGAAACTCGTTATTACATCAAAAATCTAAAAGTTAAACAAAAAACATTAAACAACGGTAATGTACACATGGTTCTATAATCTGAAGCCATATAATTTAATTCGACAAACCGTATAATGTTTCAGTCATTTGTAAGTTTTTTGTACTTTTGTTTATAAAAAAAAGAAAATTTTGTTTGGTTTGTTTAATTTCACATTTATATGAATTAGCACAGTAAATAAGACGTTTACATTTTAACAGCATAGCTAACTGTAAAATTTGACTGTGATGCTGAAAACGTTTTTTTATCAGTTAAACCCATCGATCTAAGCATACAATAGGATGATATTGTAAATCTTAAAAGATTTGGGGTATTTGAACCCAAAAAAAAGAGTTGGGGTATAGTGTAATTCCGAAAAGAACACCATAAAGCTTCTCTCCCACCCCATGTGCTGCCACTTTTTCAATTTAAACAAATTAGTTAATTTCTATTTCATCCTTTTTTGTCGGCTTTTAATTTCTTATCACCACCTTTTGTTTTTTTAGTTCTCTCTGTCACACTCTCTATGTATGCCTAATTTGACTGGGTTCACACTTCACACCCATAAGTCAATAACAGAATAATAATAATAACAATTTGATCAAAAAAAATAAAAAATAAATAATATTGGAAAATCAGAATACTGCGTCAGTATCAACATTGACAACAACTTGCGAGTCTCCATTCTCAATGATTACATGGTCACTCTCCATACTTCGTATAAAATGCCTCGCTATTACGTATACAGTATACTTATCTTGTTTAAGTACTGCTCAAATACTTAATTCACTGTATACCGGTTTGATTACTATAACTCTATAATGTTTCAAACCATATTCTAAATCATGTGCAAAATTCCTTACAAAACAATATACGTGTCGGATATTCAAACCTTAATTAATTATTTTCGGTGTTGTGTTTGCCTTGGAGGCTCGCATGG